ACATATGTCTATTTTAAATATACATATTTAAAACTGAAATAGCCGACCAATTGACCAAGTACGGAGTACGTATTAAGTTAGAAGAGGAAACCAGATTACCTTTTAACAAGAAGAGTACTTTTCAAAAAATTTGATTATGCATCTCAAATCCTTTTAATCTTTCATTCTTTATGTTTCGATTTTCAGTTTTTTTGTGAATTGCTTTTGAGTTTTCACTTTTGAGATAGTAAAGTAAGAGAGAGTTATGGGTCTATTTTGAATTTCTTTTGCACAATCAAAAAACCTTGTTTAGTCTTAATCGGAGATAACTATAAATTGTTCTAGGGTTGATTTGAGATCATATTGATTGATCCATTCATTTAGAAAATTAAGTTTGAACTTAATTTTGAATATTCAAATGATTTGTTCTCTAATTTAGTGGATGCATAGTTAAAAATTTTCAGTTTTTTATATTTATTTACATTTTAAGTAGGTTATGTTCTCTAATTTAGTGACAAGAATGCATTATTTAGCACATTTATTTAACTAATATTAGGATATGTCGCAAAAAACTAATATTATCACACACACACATATGTATGTATATGATTTCAATAGTGCGTTTTATTTGTCTTTAGTATCATGCCTCTCAAATGCATGTCCGGGTTTCAAAATAGGAAAAGGAAGTCACGTATTGACTCATTAATACATTTGCTATTGTTATATTATACTCCGTATTCTATGAGAATTTTTATATTGTCCAACGGCTTGTACTTAATTAGTTACTTTTAATACATGTGGTATTGTTATATTATACTCCGTATTATGTAAGAATTTTATCTAATTAGTTATTTTGTGATAATACATCATACATCTTTAACTTCAAAAAAAAAATACTACATCATCATCATCATCACCTCAGTGCCGCAAAGGCTCCCTTGTACTAAAGTACAAAGAGTCTGTTTCCAGTTGACTCATAGTGAAAATCGCGTCGAGAATTGCATGGACTGACTGCTCCTTCATAATAAAGAAGCGCAGACGGTTTAGTGAGTCATGTTGCTTTATTCCATCATATTCCCAAGCAAAAAAATAGGAGTCTTTGGTTCCACTGCAAATGATGGAATTCAAAAAATATTTTCTCCGTCCCTTATAACTTTCCCAACTTTCCTTTTTTGGATGTTCCATTAAGTTTGCCACTTTCCCATTTAAATAAAGAATTTGTGGTTCAAGTTAATTATCTCCTCTGCACAAACCTCAACCACACACTTTTTACTTTATTAATCTCCATGTCGTTCAAACATGGCAAAGTTATTAGGGACGGGGGAGTATATATTACATAAAATTGTAATTTTTAGGGGTCTTTTATGTAGTTCGACTCAGGCTCAAGTTTAGGTAGGATCGACACTGCTTCAAAGAGTAAGCTACTCCACCTTCCTTATTTTTTGCACCAAGGTCTATTGGTCTTCTTGTCCCAGGTGAGGTGTTGTTTAATAATACTACACCAAAACCCTTCAAAAATCATATCGCTTGGTGGTTCTGCTGAATTCTCAACTTGAGAAGATGTATCCTTGTTTTCAGATGGCACTTGTAGTGGAACTCACCCACATTTTTTAATGGCAACTTTTTATCTTTCTTTTTTATGAGGGGCAACTTTTTATCTATGATGGAATCCATAAAGATATGTCCAGTGGGTAATAATATTGCATGCTCTGTAGAAGACTCAAATGTTATGACTAATATCCCATGGTCCTGAGAGTTTGGCGATTTTGACACCAAACTTGCAACTCTTTGAGAGGTTCTGCTGAACATTCGACCGCAGAATTAGTCATGTCTTTGGCAGAAGGATACGCCCCCCATCTTTGTTTTTTCTCTAGACATCTGCTGTTCTGCTCTCTTCTGCTCTTCATTGGAATCTACAGACATTATATATTCAAGAGATATTCCATCTACTAAATCAAATTCTTCTGTCATGTTCTGCCCTAAGAGCTTGGACTCGGAGCCTTGTCAATCAAATTCAGTCACAGCAATTGAAAGTGTCTTCTCCTGAACCACAATGCACAGTTTCAATTGTTTCAGATTTTGTTTCTCCAAAAAGTCCAAGCTCATATAAAAAATGTTTTGGTTCTGTTTTTTTTTTTCAAAAAACCAATCTAAAATAACGTCATGCACTAAAAATAAAATAAATTATCTGATTGTACTATAATGAAGTGTTGCTACTATTGATGATGAAATATCTAAGACATTTTTTTACTACCTCCATCCCTAAACTATCCACTCTCTCTCTCTCTCTCTCTCTCTCTCTCTCTCTCTCTCTCTCTCTCTCTTATGTATGTCCCAAAATTGTCCATCATTTCTTTTTAAGGAAAGCATTTTGTAATTCATATTATATCTCTATCTTCTAAAAACATTCAACCACACAGTATTCCTTTTCAAAGACTTTGTGCCAGTCAAACTTACATTTTAAATTACGGAGATAGCAAGTACGGAGTATTACATTTCAAGCTAGTATACAAGAAGTTCTTGTGTGGCGCATTGGGTTGAAAACAGAACCAAGACCATCCAACTTTTTTGCCCGAAAATGAACGTAAATTGTAGTTTGGAACTAGTGTAGGAGCGCGCAAATTCTAGTTGGTCTGGCCATGGACTACAATGTTTGGTTCTGGTTCTACTTCCAAAAGTTTTCTGGCCAGCAGTCAGCAGATTTAATAGGACATGAAGCGCAATACCTGTTACCAGATTCAAATTAAGGTCCTTTCATGTGGGGATCTGAACCGATTGAAACAAAAACAGACTGAAATTGACCGGTGACCAGTGGTGGAGATAGGGAGGGGCGGGAGAGGACCGCCTATGAAAAAAGTGTGATGTAAATATATGTGTATAAATATTTATACAGTACAAAATATACTGAAAATTTAATTTTTGGCTCCTCAACATAAATTCTGTAAACCCCGCCCCTAACCTGAAGGCTCCGCCAATGTCGTTTAAGGAAATCTATAGATGCACTCCTGGCAAAAAAAGCATTGTGCTACAGAAAATTGAATATGCCATTATACCACAACACCAGATCATCCAAAAACCATAGTAAACTAAAACTTCTTAGAGGAAAAAGAGCGTGTGTCATTGAATCAGTGAAACATTCCTATCTATGGATTCTTCATCCACAACACATTTTTTATGTGTCTAAGAATTAGCTACAGAACAGTAGATGGTGTGGAAGAAACGAAATTAGATATAGCCAACCAAGGAAGGGAGATGCGTAAGTTACCTTAAACGGAGAAAAAAGATTCCGAAATTGAGCGTAAACAATTTAGGGTTTCGTTCTTTCTCGCGGTGGAAGATATGGCTAGCTCCCAATCTGCTTCGAAAAGCGTTTTAGTAGGAGCAGATGTTGAAGAAAAGCAGTTTTAACGGTCTGAAAAACGGAGGGAAAACAGCAGCGAGAGCGCGGGAATGGGAGTTGGCTGATACGGTGGTTGGGGCTCCACCGCTCCAACGGACGATACTTGACGAATGACAAAGAATTGACATACCGTTACGGCCTTTACCTCTTAAAAACATTGGATAAGTCTAGAAATTCCTACTCATTTTTTGAACATCCATGTGCCATGTTACTCTGGGGTAATCAAGCGTCATTTATTATCCCATACAAGTGTTCTAAGGGTTGGTTTGAAAGTGCTTTTAAAAAAGTACTTCTCAGCTTTTGGCTTCAAAAAAACACTTATTTTCTCAAACACTACAACTTTTATTTTTCTCGGCTTCCGCGTCAAAAGTGCTTTTATTTTTTCTATTACACAAAAAGCACTTATTTTACCAAACACTATCCACTTTTACTTTTCAAAATCACTTTTTTCTCAAACACTATCAACTTTTATTTAATCATTTCTCCTCATTTCATTAAAAAAGAACTTTTTTAAAAGCAGAAGCTGTTACAAACAGACCCTAAAAGGCGACATAAAGCGGGACTTGTATGTACTTAGAATATTTTCTTTTGGACTGTTTTCAGTCCCAGACCAAACCAGACCACATCAAACCAGACTAGATCAGACCAGACTTCCGTAGTTATAAAATATACAGAGACCAGACATTTACCAGACCAGACTAGCAAATTTCAGTCTAAAGGAAAACATCCTTAGATGTGAGGTGGAGTAAATCACAGGGCGCTAATGCGCCGAATTTATATTTCACGAGGAGGTTTCATACATTAAACCCGAGATTTTTGGCTAACTTTTTTTGTGTATCATTGGATGTAGGTTTACGCTATTGCCTATTGGGTCTAGGTATGGACCGGTTCTGGGCCTGGCCGGGCTCCGGGCCGGTCCAAACCGGGTTTTTTTTTATAGCTTTTCTAATTAATTCCAACCCCCCACCCCCCAAAACACCCAATCCAACCCGCCTACCACAAAAAAAAATCGAAAAAAAAAAATGGACCCAGATCGGGTCTGGACTGGCTGGGCCGGTTCCAAAGGAGGTGCGGCCCGGAACCGCCCCCAGCAATCCCCCGGGCCGGTCTTAGGCCCGGAACCGGTCCCGGTTAACCGGGCCAGTCCGGTCCTGCACAGTGGCGGTCCGGTCTGGTTCCCGAGCCGGTCAGACCGGAACCGGGCCACCCCTAATTGGGTCACTACATTCAAGGTCATTTGATTTGAGAAATCCTACTTACACTGATCCATTAGGCTAAAAACTGTGGTAGAATTGGACAGCAGACAACTATGAATCCTCTGTGTCATGTTTATACAAATCATTTATATTGAAACATAACATCTCAAATAGGAGTAGACATGTGCCGGATCCGCTCCAGTTCGAACCATCTGGTTCCTTGCTAAAGGTACCTGTAACCAGTACCGTATGATCCTGGACCAGTTCTGGTCATCATCTTTACCTTGTTTTTGAAAAAAGTAATTAAAAACTGGGAATGTTTTAGGTTAAGTCCTATTTTGGAGAAACCAGAACCGTTTGGACTGGTTCTGGATACAGGTACACCCCTAATCTCAAACAAATTGAAGTAGTGAATACGTTGTACAGAGAAATCACAAAATCACTTCTGAAAGACCATATTTTCTAAGAATCTCAAAACAAGGGGAATAAACAATTATGCTAAATAGGTCTAGACGAAATAGAAGTTTGGTACAAAATACATAATATTCAGTTGCCATTTAGTCAGAGTCAGACGAATCTGCATTTGAACTTTGGCGAACACTCCTAGATTTTGATTTTGATTTTGATTTTGATGCATGTAAAGATGATTCAGTGTCAAGATGGATGACTCCAGCTTTGGCTAATCTCTCTTCTAGCTCCTCGGTGCTAAAATCATCTTTTCCACCAAGCTCATCGAATCCGACCTACATATAGAACACATAAAACAGAAGCCACATGAGTACATGACAATCAATACTCTGTATAAAAAGCAATCACAATTAAAGCACATGGATGACCAAGTTTAGTTGGTTGTTTGATGCCCACTTTACCATTGCCCTAAAACTAAACCTTAAAAGCTTCTGTTTGGCAAGACCTAAAATGGTTGAAGTGGAAAATTGCTAAATATGTTACTACCTCCGTCCCTGAATTTACTTCCAAAATAAAGTGGCACACGGATTAAGAAAGTGGGAATTGTGTGGTGGAGAGTTGTGCAGATGAGAGAGAAATGTTGTGAACCACAAATTCTTTACTAAAAAGGGAAAGTGAAGTTCTTTTTGGGACGAACGAAAAAGGAAAGTTGGAAGTATTTTCAGGGACGGACGAAAAAGGAAAGTTGGAAGTATTTTCAGGGACGGAGGGAGTAACATTTTAGCTGAAATGACTGGATTTGGAGAATTATTGATCTAAAATGTTGTATAAAATATATTTCTTGAACAAATTACAAAAATAGTTGAAGATAGAAATGTGCTTTTCATAAATTTGACTAGTATTTCGTCCGAAAAAAGTAACAACTGCATTACTTTATTCATTACAAGACAATTCAGACAGCATGGTAGAACACGCTAGTGGTGGTAAAAAGCATGGCTGGTAAGCCGACAACAGGTATACTGAACCGGCTCTAATGTGCTCATCTGCTTGTTGAAAGTTTGTACCACATAATTTTTTTATGTAAAAAAGTAACATGAGGTACCTGCTTGGCTGAAGTTGCTCGAAAATAATCTTTTCAGCCTTTGTAAATGTATTTTTCTTTATTTTGATAAATACAAGTTAAAAGTTTTTCTTATTTCAGCAAACTTCATCTCTAGCAACCACTAATTCAGTAATTTTGGCCTAATCCAACCTTAAACTATCAGACTCGAAATAATTCAAAGAATGAAAGATCTTCACAATACACAACATACCACATAATCCTCCACTTTAGCATTTTTTACGAGGGCGATTGTTGGGAGAATAGTAATCCTCAGCTTCTCGGCTAAGAATGGACTTTTCTCGGCATGAATTTTAACAAAACGTGTCTCTATATGTTGTTCTGCCAGTATACGCATATGTTTATCCACTACCTGTCATCATACAGTACTTATTAACATCTCTCAATAAGAACCCAAAACAGATAAGTCAGTTGATGTGCATAAAAGTGATAAAACTGTAAATCGTGTGCAACATTGCAGTTTCAGCTTATTTCAAGAAAAAAATTGAAACTTCAAAACTGAAATGCAACCAAAGCTAAAACTTTCCAGCAATAGCAGATTTACACACCAAATTTCCCTAAAGCAATATAACAAAATTCTAATTCTAATTTTATACTTAAATGAGGTCAACCGCTTGAATCTAGAAGATAACAGACATTGAATATTAGCCACTGATACGTATACATATATATATACACACGAAAATGTTCATGTAAACTAGGCCTAAATTTAAATTTTAGGGCTCTTTCATTTGAGTGCTTCCGGGTCGAATTTTTTTCCATAAATTATTGAAAAATGTGCAGCTTCATATATATAAAAATGCAGTGTTTTCAGAAATTTATTTAATTGACTTCCCGTAGAAATTTTAAACTGAAATTTGGTAGATATAATCTAAACTTCAGGTTTCTCAAGAAAAAACTTCATGGAGTACATGCTCACATATTTCATCAAAAAAATCGACATTTCATGTTCAGTTACCTTGCAAGGCCAATTGTCGCGGTAGAAATGACAGACAACGCGCTCACTGGCCTTAACTATGGAGAAGAAATCTTTCTCAGACATAATTTCCGAATACTCCCCGTGGCCGAGAGACTTCCAACGGTTCCGCTTCTCTGCCATTTTCTTCATTTGCTGCAATCTTCGCTCCCTCAGTACCTCAATGTCGTCGAGATCTAGCCGATCTAAGGCCGCAATCTCTTCATCGAGCTTGTCCTCCACGGCCTTCACTACCGTCAGCACTTGCTTCTCTAATATCTGGCAAAGAAGGTAAAAACACAACAAAATCCCGTAATTGAAAGAACATACTTTTCTTTAAAACAAACAAAAAAAACCATTTTTTCCGAAAAACACCGGTGAATTATGCAGGGATGTGTATATAAAATACCTCTTTAAGCTGTGGATTCTCCATTAATTGATATAAGCTGCGGCGGCGTCCCTAGAGGCTTACACGGAAGTCACGGAGGACGGAGGTGGCCTTGGCCGACTGCTGAGGACGGAGGCTTCCTTCGATTGAATCGACGCTCAACTCTGGCTTTCAAAAGTGATTGGCTTTTTCTATTTTGGATTTTGGGCTATTCTTAAGGCATCCTTTCCAAACGCTTAAAAATTGGGATTATGTCCTCAATATTACTAATTTTGAACCAATTATCAAAAAAGTGACCACTTTTAAAAAGAGGCAAAAAAGTGATCAAGAAGTGCATATTAATGTCATTCCCAAATTTAAATGTCACTATCGTGTTTTATCAAGTGTCACTGCCACCACCGCTCGTGTCACTGCCGCTACCGCCCGTGTCACTGTAGCCACCGCCCGTGTCACTGCGGCCACCGCCTGTGTCACTACGGCCACCGCCCGTGTCACTACGGCCACCGCTGGTGTCACTGCCGCCGCCACCACCAGTCACCGCTGCCAACCACAGTGACACCGCCACAGTGACACATTCAAAGTGACATCTCCGCAGTGACACCTCCACATCTACCCATTCAGAAAACCACCTCCGCCTCTGCAGGCCACCACAGAGGTTGCCGCCGCCCGCCGCCCGCCGCCCGCCGCCCGCCGCCGGCGCCGGCCAGCAGTGCCACCCTTCTCATTTGACTCCACATCCAACTTTAACACAGTCCACCACCGCCCACTGCCCCACCACCACTGCCAGCCCCGTGGTTGACCATCACCGCAGGTCGCCACCGCCACCGCCGGCCGCCGGCTTGAATCCCCAACCTCCATAACCCCAACCATCCCCATCCCCCAAGCCCCCATCCTGATCCCCTGCTCACCCATCTCATCTCCCCCAGCCCCCGATTAGCAACGACGCACTCCAGCCCCACACCAACAACGCCGCACACCACCTTTCAGCCTCGCCCCAATCAAACTCGATCTGAAACTCAAATCTAAAAATAACAACGAAAATCCCCAAATTCGATTTGAAATCAGAAAGGAGAAAAAGGAGAATCAAAGGTGGTGGCTTGGTAGTCGTCGCTGATTGTGCGAAGAGGAGCGCCGGATTGGAGGAGGAATGGCGGATTGAAGTGCCGGAGAGGATGACCCCGTCGAAGAAGGAAGCGTGCGAAGAGATGAAGAAGAGCCTGCGTGCGGGTGGGAAGAGCGATCGATGAGATCTAATGGGCTGGGAAATATTTTAAAAGGTCTGATTTTTGTCCAATTGCAAAGTGGCTATATTTTGGTCTATGCAAACTCCCTAACTAATATTCTTGCCATTCTTTCTTAAAAATTTCATAACTTTTGCCTTAAACAAGACCTCACATTAACACCCATCATTTTTACTTTTCAAAATCAATTTTTTCTCGAATAATATGAATAATATCAACTTTTATATTAAATATTTTTTTCAAAATTATTTTAAAAAGTTCAAAAGCACTTATGAGTAATGTTTGCAAACAAAGTCTTAGGAAAATTCTATATCCAACCCCTTACTTACACTCTAAAACCGCCAAGATCCCGTAATAAATTACAACTTCTTTAATTCTTACTCCCTCCGTTCCGAAAATGTTTGTCAAATTGACTTTTCTTTGTCAATGATAATCAGCTTTGACCAAGGATATTTTTTAATACGAAATTAGTTTCAATATGCAAATTATATTAAAATGTTTCTTATTCAAAATATTTTTCATAAAAACATAAAACTTATAAATTATATGCAAATATAATAATTAAAATCATTGTCCATAGTTAATATACTATTCTGTGTCTTTACTATCTCATCGGATCCGGGCATATGCCTCGACCGTTGGAAGAGCGTTGTTCTAGAAAGAAGAAGGAAAGGAAAGAGGGCTTCTCGACTATGAGACGCTACCCTTTCTCCCGATTTTGCCAACCGTACAAAGTAGAGAACACAAGTTTGGATCTTTTTTATTGTGAGGTTAGGATGATGCTCAAATTTAAACGGTTCCGATTAACTTTAGACACTTTCAATTCAGCCAGTAAAGAACAACGGTTTGCTTTACTTATGCTTGATTGGACAAGACTACCAACCGGAATGCTTACTCTAGAAGTTTCTGACTACCTCACCGGCATAGATTCGTTTAAGTTTGGGTTCATTTCTTGATTGAAATGATGAGATTTTTGGTTGATATATGAATTCTTATAGCTTAATAGTTCGCTGTGTAATGCAAATATATTATATATAGAGCATATATTACGTGAAACAGAAATATATTATGTTGATGTTAGAAATGATTTTTCTGAAAATGATTACATTCAACTATAAGATATTTCAGCAAATTGCATGATTTTTCTAGAAAAAATCCAAATGCTAGTATATATGATTTGTAGTCAATGAATTTTAAATAGAAAGAGTCATGGACACTTTCTATATTCAATTTTATCATTATATAAACACTGATGTACAAGTCATTCGTGCTAATGATTTGGTGTCATTTCTTGAAGAAGGGGAAAATAAGGGTGCAGGGTTCATAGTAAGAGATGTACAACTCATTCATGCGGATGCGTTGAGAGATCTCTCAAACACTATAGTTTAGACCTTCACGAAACATGTTTATTTTGATGATGGATATTATTTTTCATATACTGCTATATAAGGAAAATTTTGCATAATGGATTTATAGTTCCATATTGTGATGAACAAACTAGAGGGAGGAGAGTATCACAAGGACTCAGTGATTTATTAACTCAGTGGAACAACAACAGTTATGATACTTTTGTTTTCGAGATGCAGTTTAAGTAGCGACTTTGTTTTCTGCAAAACACTTCGGACATACAAAGCTCCTTCCTCCCCTGTCCCATTTTGTGTCCTATATTCTTACTTTTAGTTTACTAAGCTAATTAAGTCTTCCTTTTTTACTTATTTTAATTTATTCTTCGTATTTTAAAATTTGGCAATTCGCAATAATGGAACTTCCAAACTAGTTTTTAAATGTTGAAATGACTAATGTTGTATCTGTTGGTTTTTATGGAGTTTGAGTGTTAAACAATAGAGGGTAGTGAATAGTGAAAAAGTTGAAGATGTTAGAAGAGAAATTAGAACAATTGCAAATAATAGGAAAGATGTCAAGGGTTTTTTATCATGTCATCACAAACTGTTTATTTAGGGTTGGTTTGCAACTGCTTTTAAAAAAGCACTTCTCAACTTTTGGCTTTAAAAAAGCACTTATTTTCCCAAACACTACAACTTTTATTTTTCTCGACTTCCGCGTCAAAAGTGTTTTTACTTTTTCTATTACACACAAAGCACTTATTTTACTAAACACTACCCACTTTTATTTTTCAAAATCACTTTTTTCTCAAACACTATCAACTTTTATTTAATCACTTCTCCCCATTTCATTTAAAAAAACACTTTTTTAAAAGCAGAAGCTGTTGCAAACAGACCCTTAACAAGAATGTACAGTTTTAGCTTTGTGTTTAATAATATGACGACTGACCAAATGCTCATTTCCCTTTTATGATATTTATTCATGCAGGTTTACGTGACTCTAATGGTAAAATGTGCACGGTGCACACGTGGCATGAGAAATGACCACATAAATATTAGTAGATAAATTCTTTCTCTCCTTATTTGAATGATTTTATACATTTTTGGTAAGTTTTTCTCCACAATGTCAAGGAGACCGTCTAGATGTTGACATTGTTGTTGACATTGCAGGGAAAAACTTACCAATATTGTATAAAATCATTCAAATAAGGAGATAAATAATTTATATGCTAATATTTATGTGGCTATCACTCATGCCACATGTGCATCGTGCACATTATATTATAACATTGGAGATGCTCTAATGAGTACAACCATAGTTGGTGACTCAACTGCAATGGTGTGAGTTGAGTTTGTCATTTCATCAATGCAAGACAAATTATCTCAAATAATGATGAACTATTAACGATCTTCATGTATACATGTATAGAGTGACTAATAAATTGAGATTTTCGTCTGAAAAACAAAGAAAGAATGACAAATATTGATATTAAGGATAACTCTCTTCGAGTGTTTATACAATTATGTATCAATGAAGCAGAACTGAAAAAATGTGGATAATTTAATCCTAACACAGACTCATATTTAGTAAAGCACAATGATATTCAAAAGATGGAATCAATTTAGAGTTATTTTGATGGTGAATTCCTCAATCAGTTATGTTCCTCAATCAGTTAAGTATGTTCGTGAACTATTGGAACACTCTTAGCATTGTCTTCTTTCAACGCGGTTCCAAACTCCCCCTCTAGCCAATTTTAAATCTCCCCCTGAAAAAAACATGATGGAAAGAATGAATTGGTGCAGTGTGTGCAACTAAATAACGAAATTTAATAACATTTTAGTTACTACGACTCAACAATGCAAATAACTTCATATGTGCGAACATTTGGCTGTCTCAATATGATGACATTAAACTCCTTAGTATATACGATAGTACTACGTATATGTGATTGATTTTTTGTTGTTCTCTGCTACTCCTTAATAAACTCCTTAAATGATAATAATAGGAAATAATTAACTTGTTACTCTTGTAAGGAGCAACATTTTACTTGTGGTTGATCATTTTCTTGTGCTTCCATGCTCATATCTTTCATGTTCTCTTCTTTAAGCCTAAAAGGGATATGTAAATATATGACTCTTATATTCTGATTTTCCTTTTTGAGAAACAACACTACTTCTTGTTATTAGTCACATACAAAGTACTTTTTTTTCTCTTACACAAAAGTGACAGTTGAAAAAAAAGTGACGGAACACGTAGGCAAAGATGCAGCAACATGCATGGGAAAATGCAGAAAAATCCTCGAAAGATATGTGCATTACGAGTCCGTTTGGCAAGTTTTTCAGCTTATCAGGCTTCTCAGCCAACTTTTTCACCAAACACGTAATTTTTGTTTTCGCGCGCTGAATTGTGTAATAAGCAGAAAAAATAAGGTTGGTGTTACTTTTCTGGTTGTATTGGCTGAAGTTACTGTAGATGACCATTTTAGCTATTTTTACACATAATTTTTTCTTTATTTTATTAATAAAATATATTTTAAAGATAATTTTTTCTTAAATCAGCACAATCAGCCAATGCAGCCACTTCACCCAGAATTTCATAAATTTCAGCAGAATCAACCAAAACAGCTGATTTTCGTGCTACCAAACGGGCTTTACATATAATAGGAAAATTTCCTCACTATCAACGTAAATGAGATCATATAGAGCTCATTTAGTAACCCTGTTTTCAGCGCTTATGAGGCTTATCAACCAATATTTTCATCAAACACGTAAATTTTGATTTCGCACGCTGAATTGTGTAATAATAAGAAAAAGTAAGGTTGTTGTTACTCTTCTGGCTGTATTGGTTGAAGTTATTGTAGATGACCATTTTAGCTATTTTTCATATAACTTTTTCTTTATATTATTAATAAAATATATTTTAAATATAAGTTTTCATAAATCAGCAAAATCAACTGATGCAGCAATCATTTCAGTCAGAACCTTATAAATTGCAACAACATTAGGCGATTTTGACATTACCAAACAAGCTCATAATTGCATAGTTGCTCAAACGATTCTTTATGTAGTACAATACTTCCCATTTATTATCTCATATCTTGATTTGATATGAATGAAAGTTGTGTTGTTGAAAGCTACTACATATTTAGAAAAAATACACAATTTAACTGATAAGATCATTCATTTAAACTGAAAATAATTTTTATTTTGAGACAAACTAAATGGCAAAAAATTAAATTTATTTCAATATCATCTGTGTTTCTTTAGCCCAAATCAATTTCATGGAAATGCCTGTTTGAAAATATGGGGTTAAAGGGCTAGAATCTGCGATCAAATTCAAGGGCCCAAAACACGTTTCCCAATTCCCATATTTTATCTTCTGCAGTTCTCACTCCCTCATTCTACATTTCCACCACTCTTCGAAGCAGATACTTGCAAAAATCTTTGAAATTCTCAAATCCCTAGCGACTATTACCGATTAGTCCGAATTCCACCAATATGGCTCTGTCTATGGGATTGTTTTCAGGATTTGTTCCCGGAGAAACTACGACGTACTTCAAGCCGTCGTTTTCGGCGTCTAGTCTGAGAATTGCGCCTTCACTCGCTAACTTGCAGACTTCGCGCACCGTGATCGTCGCCGCTTCTTCTAAGCCGACCACGGAGGCGAAGAAACCCGGCGTACGAGGCCTCATGAAGCCGCGTCGTGTCTCCCCGGAAATGCAAGCGTTCCTCGGTGGAGTTGCGGAGACCCCCCGTACTCAAGTTGTGAAGGCCGTTTGGGATCACATTAAGAAGCACAACCTTCAGGTAATACATGCGCTTCGCCCTCTTTGGTCTTACACTGGAAGTCCATAACCTTTATACTTCGTATTTGAATTTTTTTTGGGCAGAATCGTATTTGAAATTTGATAATGAAATTAGAAGTCACAGAACTGCCTGTATAAATACTTTGGTCAGAAAGGAAGATTTCATATTTTTGTTTTAGTATATATTCTTAACAGGAAACAGACTTGTAAATTGTAATCAGATAATAAATCGCATTATGCTATATAGGAAGGTTAATCTGAAGTGTATGAAATTGGTTTTGCTCTATTATGGCATTTGATTATTAATGGCTCTGTTTTTTGGGAAAATTAAGTCTTATAATACCCCAAATTGTGAACACTACATGCTTTAATGTGTTAAATAAACGTTTTGAACTTTATGTTACACGTGAATACATTTTCTGCACCATAAATGTTGGATGTTTGCTCTTTCACAAATGTCAGTATAGCATGCCAAGCGCATAATTTGAATACTCTGAACATTCAGGTTGAGCATAAACATCCTAAACTTACATTTTTGAAAAAAATAATCTTGGTTCATGGTGTTGAATGGATTTAAATCATTTAATATACAGTTCCATGGTATTTATTTCACTCCCTAAAGTTCGGGGAGTTGAGTTCACACATCCTCATTGTTTGGGTTATTTGAATTAATTTGTTAGTGGCATTTTTTCAAACTGCATTGTTTCTGAGTATGTAAGCAGGAGTGGTTTCACACCACCTAACCTAGGAACTAGGAAGTCTGCACTACACGTATATTATTTTAATGAAACTTTATTGGTTACTAAACACTTCCCCACTTTAATACACAAATTACTTACGAAATCCATGTTCTTTTTTATTTTTTTAAATTATAATCTTATTTCATAAATATTCAATGCCACAATTTCTAAATAAATTTAGTATTTTAATGCCCTAGAATGAAACAGCTAATCGTCCAACCATTTTGTCGGGCGTTAGGCAGATTTTGCTTTAAACCTGGCGACGCTTAGATAGCCCTCAGGCTTGAATCTCAATATATTGATCATAAGATGTTTGAAGTTGATTTTGTTGTCTCTCCCAACACTTATATTGTATATTTATGAACTTTAAGCTGTGGTAGTCACTAAATAATATAATATGTTCTTCGTAATAAATTATAAGATTTCCTTTTTCAGTAATAAAATATACTAGTAATATTTTAATACAAAAATGTGAACTTTCAGATTGTTAATTGGTGTAACCTATCTATTTTTAAACATTCACTGGTCATCTTGTAATGTACTCCTTTTTGCTTTTTATGGTAATTCTATTCCATTTTATCAGTGGCTGATATGCAAAATAAAAAGCTCTTGTTGATTGACCAATGGTCATTGTGTGTAAACTTTTATTATGTTTGCCTATACATGGGTCCGTTTGGATGGAGGGCTTTGAAGAGGTTTGAAGAGTAAGACTTTAGAGAACAAAGACTATATCTTGACAAATAGAATGTTTATAAGAACGGACAAGCGGTGATTAGAATGTGATGCAATCGTATACTCCGTATTAAGTAAATCTTTCTATTTTTGTAAAATCTCAAATATATATATAAGAGACTAAGGCTTTCTTTGCTTAGAGTGTAAGATGATGCAAACACACTTCACTCATTTAATTTTGATTATTATTGGAGAAAGTGTGAAACAGAAGTTCCAAAACTTATTTCTGAAGGTCTTTCTGGTTACACATTTTCTGCCAATGAAAATTGTGTGCAATTAGGGATAGTGCTAAGCTTTATCACTGATATACCATTTTCCCGGGATAGATTTGACTCATAAATAGATTTAAAATGTTTAATAGCCAATTGTGAATAACACTAAAATCAGAGACATAAACTATGATATTGATGATTCGGTAGCTCTTATTAGGTCATAAAATGAGTATGGATAGGCTTAATTTGGTTGGATTAAATTCCAAGGTTAGATTTGACTTAGTTTGAACCTAGATTCAAAACGTCTGCTAGTAAAAAGTTTGTTAAATTAGGTGAACTAACCTTTTATGATGTATGCAACCTGCCTGCCTCCAGGGCTCCAGGTGTCTAGCTCAATGGGAGGCAGGGGAGACTTAGGGTTAGTTTGGAATTTGGATGGAGGGGGATGTAGTTTTCTGGAGGGATCACCACTTAATAGCTCAATTGCTCTCGATTTGTTATCTTAACATAATATTTATCAAGATAGATTCTAAGCTCTTCAAAGCCTTCCAGTCCGAAACCCTCCACCAAACTGACCCCTCGGGTGGGAGTTTGGAGGTGGGTTGTTAGTCTACAAGTATAGCTTGATATATATTTGATTTTAGAAAAGGTGAAAGATTAATGTAATATGTTATTGTATAATGTTTCAATAACCTTTTATTCATTTTAGAAGCATTATGCTTATCATGATATAGAATGAGCCTCCTCCAAAACCCTACATAAAAATAAAACCGTAGGTCGTCAAGGCCTGCTAGCATTCTAGCATCATGATCTTATACTACTAACTCTGCCTCTCTATGTGCTTACCTTTTGCAGGACCCTACAGAGAAGAGGATTGTTGTGTGTGACGAAAAGCTGAAGAAAATATTTGGAGGAAGGGATCGGGTTGGGTTCCTTGATATTGCAGGGTTGATTAGTCCTCACATTCTCTAATTATTATTATTATTACAACCAGATGATTGGTGTGCATGCTGCCTATGAAAAGAATGTCAATTTTGTAAAGGAAAGTTTGATGGCTTATGCAGACATGTGTTCCTTAGGAATCCTATTCTGCGACCTTCATGGGTTCCTTTATTTTGACTAGTGCCACTATTTAACAAGTTAATTGTGTCTTGCTTTAGGTGATGATTTCAATAATAATTATTGCTGTTCTTAGGATGTTTCTTTCGGACTGTTTTCAGTCTGAGACTCTGAGACCATAGTTAAACAGACCAGACCGGACTTAAATTAGGGGTGGACCGGTTCCGGTTCGGGCCCGGCCGGGCCTCGGTTCAAAAAAAGGAGGCCCGAGCCCGAACCGGTGGTGGGCGGTTCCGGTTCCGGGCCAGAACCGGGCCGGGCCGGGCCGGGCCACCCGGAATGTTTTTTTTTTTTTCTTCTTCTTCTCTTATTTAACCCCCTACCCCTCCCCCTCCACCCCAAACCACCCCAAACCACCTCAAATGGCCCAAAATACCTAATCCAACCCAAAACTTAAAAAAATTTCAAAAAAAAAAAAAAAAAATTAAATTCCGGCCCGAACCGGGCCCGGCCCGGCCGGGCCGGTTCACTAAACTGGAGGCCCGGGCCCGGACCGGTATACCACCGGGCCTGGAGGCCCGAACCGGAACCGAACCGGTTGACCGGGCCGGTCCGGGCCTGCATAGTAGCGGGCCGGTCCGGTTCCGGGCCGGTTGGCCCGGCCCGAGTCCATCCCTAACTTAAATAGACCAGACCAGATTTGGACAATTATAAAGTACACAGAGACTAGACATTTATAAGATCAGTTCAGACCAGACTAGACTTAAACAAATTAGACTAGACCAGACCAGCAAATTTCAATTCAAAATAAAACATCCTTATTATTAGTATTATCGCTAATTTGCTATAATTATTTTTATCATTATCATTATAACAACTTTTGGGTAATACTATTGGAATTACTATTTGTGCATCGATGGGGAAGCATATAATTAGCTCCTATATGATTGTTTATGCAATTGGTGGCATATCCCATTTCCTTGGGTCGAAAATTTTCATCTGGTTATACTTCGGTTGTAAAGAGAGCCGGATATGCATTATTATTTGAAATAAAAGATCATGGATTCATGAATATCCTCATTCGTATCTCTTCACCATTTTCATGTGGTTATATTTCGGTTGTAAAGAGAGCCGGTTATATTTTTTTCATTTATTATAATCAATTTTAACTATGGGGCCATACTAGCATTTTTTGTTATGAAATCAAAGATTCATTTATTTTTTTGGCTTGACAGTATGATAGGATAAAGCAAAATGGATTACCAAACTGTCTGCGCTTCTTTGTTATGAAGTAGCAGCCACTTCATGCAATTTTTGGACACGATTTTCATTATGGATCATCCGGAAACAGTCTTTTTATGTTTTAGTACAGGGGTAAGATTGTGTACATCCGACCCCCTTACCCCAACGTAGGTGGGAGCCTTTGCGTCACTGGGGTAATGATGATGATGAATGTTCAATTTGATGTAATACTACAGTACTACCTCCATCGCGAAATAATTGTCTTGTTTTTCCTTTGGAATGTCTCACAATAATGATCTTGTTTCCTCTTTTGGCAACAATTTGTGGTCCTATCTCAATTCAACTTTTCCTATTCAAATCTCAACTACAATTTTTATCTTTTAACCATTTTCTTAAATTTTTTCTAAAGCAAACCGGTGTAAAGACAATTATTTTAGAGTCTCGCTTCGTGTACACGCTGGGTTACACGCCGGCCAAATAGTCTGTATAAAGACAATTTGGCTGGCTACACAGACAATTTGACCAGCGTTTTATGAAGAAAATCGATTTCTACACAGATAAAAAGTAAGGAGTTGTCTGTATTACAAACATTTTAGATCGGAATTTTTCATAAATTGTCTGTGGTATAAATAAATTTTTATTTTTGTCTGTGTGAAAATTAGTTTTTTCACAAAACACCGATTAAATTATTTTTACATAGACAATTTGAACAGCGTATAACCCAAGGTGCACAAAATGAATTTCTTGTAATTTTAGGATGTAGAGCAATTTGATGCTTTCGTGCGGCTCAACTGCCTATCCAACTACTCCAACCATAGCAAAAGACGGCGACGCGGAGTAATTGTATCCGCTTACCAAGCGTAATACGGAGTAAAACTATTCCGATAATCAGATTTGAGGACCGAGGATCGACTCATCGACATCGACATCGGCCGCGACGCTTGGACGCCCGCCTGCCGCCCGTCAATCATCGGTGCTCAGTGCTTCAGCCTTTTGGTACGCGGCACGGTTGCTGCCTGGCTTCTCTTCTCCCGCTTCCAGATTCAGGCCCTGCAGTTCTGCACTTTTTCCTCTTCGGCCTTCTCGGGAGTTCTGGAGACTGGTACTCCTCTAAAGGCTCTGATTCTCTTGAACTCTTTATCGATTACTTATGAATTATGAAGTGATCATATAATAATATTCATAATTCATAATTGTTGATCGTTATCTGTTGATGTTCTGCCTTCAGCCTTTGTTGATGTTGAGTTTACTTGATTTCTTAATTAATTGATATGTTGAACGTTGAGTACTGATTTAGTTCCTTGGTTGATTTAGTTCATTTTTCTGTCATGTAATTAAATCTGGATTTTTATTAGTGTTATTTTGTTTGGTAAACATTTTGAGTTATAATTAAATTTATAATTTTATGTAATTTCAAGTTGCAAGAAAAATGGTTGAATTTGGATGTGAGAAAGAAGACGGAGGAGATGATAAAGGAAAGGCAATTTTATTATTGATGATATCTAATCTGGATGTTAGAAAAACTATAATTTCTAAACTTTATTATAAAGCTATCTATTGTTTAATTTTTTTCTAATGATGAGAACTTTTTTTAGTTAGATACTGTTACTCTTAAAGTAGAAAATTTTCTTCTTGATATTTTCTATAACTCCTTATATAAGGATTTGAAAGGACCTCGTGACCAGAAGCTGGTATAAACTAAGAAACGTAGTGCATATCCTTTAGTTTATAAAATTTTGATTTCAGCATTGATTTCTCCGGTTGCAACAACTAGTGTTGAAAGAATGTTTTCTGCAATGAATATCGTGAAGGATAAATTGAGAAACCAAATGAGTGATGACTGGCTCAAAGATTGTGTATGATCAATAATCTTCATGAAAATTGTGTATGACCAATGAATTTCGGCAATGACTTATTGTGTATGATCAATAATCTTCATGAAAAATGACAATGATGTCATGATCAAACGATCAGTCTGGTGAATTTGTGATGCGTTTTTTGTATTTGACTTTGATGAAAACTCTTATTAATTTAAAACACTAATTATATATCTCTGTATTTTACTTAGTTGTTGCAATTACATTTTTTTGTATGTATATTGAAATTTGTCCCCCACTGGATTTAAATGCTAGATCCGCCCAGTTGAGATCTGCTGTCTCTTCCACGCTTCTCAACAATCTTATTCCACAATTTCACTCTCCTTACTGTAAGAAATCTCAAAGATGAGCTGGTGGTGGGCCGGAGCTATTGGTGCTGCCAAGGCAAGTCCTCCTTCCATCCTCTTCCCTCCAACACTAGATTGGTAATTGCTCATGAGTTTTTGTAGTGAATTTGATTATGATTTGTGCAGAAAAAGATTGACGAAGATGACGTACCACGGAAGCACCAGAGCGTGGCTCTCATTGTCGGCGTCACTGGTATAGTCGGCAACAGCCTCGCTGAAATTCTCCCACTTGCTGACACACCTGGTGGCCCTTGGAAGGTTTATGGTGTCGCCCGCCGCCAAAGACCAGCCTGGAACTCTGATCACCCAATCCAGTACGTCCAGTGTGATATCTCTGATCCGGATGATGCCAATTCCAAGCTTTCCGTTCTCACTGACATCACACATGTCTTCTACGTAACATGGACGAACAGATCCACCGAAGTGGAAAACTGCGATGCGAATGGGAGAATGTTCAGGAATGTTCTCAACGCAATCATCCCCAATTGCCCAGATTTGAACCACATTTGCTTGCAAACGGGTCGAAAGCACTACTTGGGTCCATTTGAGTTGTATGGTCAAGTAGCACATGACCCGCCCTATGATGAGGATTTGCCCCGATTGGAAGCACCCAATTTTTACTACACCCTTGAGGATATCCTGTTCGAAGAGGTGAAGAAGAAGGAAGGACTAACATGGTCTGTTCATCGCCCTGGCACGATCCATGGCTTCTCTCCTTTCAGCATGATGAACATCGTGGGAACTCTCTGTGTCTATGCAGCCATATGTAAGCATGAGGGAGTTCCATTGAGATTTCCCGGTGTGAAAGCTGCCTGGGAAGAGTATTCTGATTGCTCTGACGCAGATTTAATTGCAGAGCAAGAGATATGGGCAGCTGTGGATCCATACGCGAAGAATGAAGCTTTCAATGTGAGCAATGGAGATGTGTTCAAATGGAAGCATTTCTGGAAGATTCTGGCTGAGCAGTTTGATGTTGAAGCTGGAGAATTCGAGGAGGGGAAGAGGTTGAGTTTGGTGGAGGCCATGAAGGATAAAGGGGCTGTTTGGGAGGAGATTGTGCGGGAAAATGAGTTGTTGCCTACGAAATTAGAAGAGGTTGGAGTGTGGTGGTTTGTGGATCTTATCTTGGGTGGAGGTTGCCCACTAGATACCATGAACAAGAGCAAAGAGCATGGGTTTTTGGGATTTAGGAATTCCAAGAAGGCCTTTGTTTCTTGGATTGATAAGGTGAAAGCTCTCAAGGTTGTTCCTTAGCTACTTGGTCACTATATGCGGGTGCTCTTGTGGTTTTGTGTTTATTTGTACCATATTTGTGTCAAAATATTGTTCTTTATGTAATGATGCTTTTTGAATAAATGGGCAATAATACTTGCATCTTCTTTGTTAATCAAGCTTATAATCTTTATTTTGCTTATCAAGAATAAATAACATTTAGCGTATTTATTTGGCTGAAATTGATTGTACCATAGCACTTCACTTTTTTTTTTTAAAGTTTCAGGATATTTGGCCATTTATCAGGAATACATATGTTTATTTATTTATTAGAGAGGTTTTAACTATTAAGTTGTCTTCAAGAGGAAAGTTGGGACGACATGGAGGTCGAATCCATGGTAATGAGGTAGTTAGAGATTAGAGGGATCCAAGGTATTCTGATTGATAATATTATATCTTT